GATAATCTGAGACTTGGAGCACTGGGAATCACTGGCCTTGCCATGCCAGTGTCCACCTCTCCAGTGAAACATCCAAACAGGATTTCCCACGGGATGCAACCCTTCTCCCAGTGAGCCATGGGCACCAACACAGCTCAGAGCAATTAGCAGAGCCAATTAAGGGCTCCCCAGTCCTCCAAAGCCACATCTGGACTGGTGAACCACCCAAACAGCAACAGCTGAGGAGACAGTTTGGTTCCTGCAGAGGACTGTGATTAAAAAAATCCATTAAAAAACAACCCATGTTTATTTTCTCTAGGAAACCTCACCAAGAAAACCTCGTTAGAAACATCTTCAATCCTCCAGAATCTGTATTTTTTTACCTTTTAGCAGAGCAAAAGAATCGAGGGAATGAGCAACAGGGGTGGTTTCAGAATTCTGACAGTGTCCCTTATGCCTCCAATGAGCAGGTTTTGGATGGGACAAAACACCTGATCAGCTCAAGGGCAGACAAGAAGCAATTTAAGGGATGTGGAGTCTCCAGCCCAGAGCTCCTCTCGCCAAACACGCTGCAAAATTCCCTGAATGTGTCAGGAGCAGAAGGAAGGTCAGGTGGCTCGGAACGAGGTGCCTGTCCAGGAATGCAGGGACAGAACACACTTCAATCACTCCAGTGATTTGGGAGTGGAACTGAAAAGCTTTTCCCATCTCTGGGATGCAGCAGCTGCAGCTGAACAGGGCTCCTTGCCTCAATCCCTTCATCCCACTTCCAGCCAGCTCTCCTTCCCAAAGCTGAGGGGTTGAACTCGGCTTCTCATATCCTTACTTCTGGATTTAGGGATTGGTGCTGGAGGAGGAAGTCAGACCCTTCTTTCCTTCCAGCCCCACATGTAATCCCCCTGACCTGAACCCCCAAATCCCTCTTGGCCTGTGCTGCTCCTCCAGAGTCGATCCAGAATGGGAAAGGACAACGAGGGATCCTGCCCAAGTCCCTGCCTGGAGTGCACACACCAATCCTGCTTTCCCCTCCCTCAGAATTTTGGGTTTAACCATTTATTTATTCTCTATTTATTATTTTGATTCATTATTATATCCACTTATTTTATCTCTGTTTAACACCCTCACTGCTTCCCTCAGTAATTCAGGGGATGAAGCTCTACAGGCCCATCACTGGTGCAGCCACAAACTGAGCACATTGTACATCCATTTTCACTCAGAGGACCTCTCTGGGAGGTGATTCCCACACAAATGCCTTCCACAAACCCTTCCCAATGGGGATAATCTCTCATTTCTGCAAGCAGTGCAAGAAAATGCGTAAAGCACCTGTGCAGCAACAGGAGGGGAGAAGAATATTGCACTAAAAGAAGCAAAAATATGGGTACGGAGGATTTAATAGGGACAAACACAAGGAAAATATTCCAGTCCTTGCAGATCACAGATTGGTTAAAGTTGGAACAGAGCTCCAAGGTGAAAGGCAGAGGAGCAGCAGTGGCTCAGTTTGAAATCTTCTCAGCCCTTTCTAGAAGAACACACCGAAAACCAGCTGGTTTTGACAGGACTGCAGGTAAAGGTACCAGGGTGCCCCAGCCTTAATATTATCCAGGACAGGTGGCAAAATTACCTAAATAGTGGCAATGTGGCTTTTTTTTTTTTTTTTATAAGTAGCATCACCCAAATCAGGGATTTGATCCCCTGCCTCAGGTGGAAGACCCAAGTTTTGCAGTTTTCCAAGAAGAATGGCTCTGCAATGTGCTTTTTAAGTGCCCCTTTGTAGCAACAAAGTGCTTTTCTCTCCCATCCCCAGCTCCCAATGATTGTTTTCCCAGGATCACAATCAAAGTAATAAATATTAAAGGCATTTGACACGCACATAATTTTGACAGAACAGATCAGTGAGGGTTTTTTTCGACACTTCAGATGGAATCCTAAGCCAGGCTGGTGTTGGAAAGGGTGTAAAGGACCCCACCTGCAGCACACGTGTGATGGGTATAGATTGAATTCTGTGCTCTGAGAATACAATACAAACTCAAAAGCTGCTCCATGAGAACTTCCTGCAGCACAAAGAGGATCCTCCAGTCGGAACACCCACGTGTCAGACAGTTCCAGAGTGCCATTATTCCCCTGTCACCTGCTCATTTCCCTGCAGAATCTGTCCCCTGCAAATGTCACTCGCTGCCACTCAACTGCTTAAATTGGGCTGGGGATAAAAAGAAAATTAAAGAGGGGGGAGAAAAAAAACCAACCAAACAAAAAAAGATATGTACCTGAACCAAAAGAAATGTTCACACTGGGAAAAGGATCAAACTTCCAAACAAGAATTAGGAGCACAAGGAATGAAGTGTTTCAGAAGCTGGGAGAGAAACGGGGCCCATGGAAAACAAACTTCTTGCTCTGTGCAAAAACTCGGCAGAATGGCACGAGATTTTCTGCTCAGACCTATCAAATCTATCATATTTAATATATAATCTCAACATTTGGCTCTGAAATGCACCTAAAAACAGTGGTATTGAAGAGCTAGGAATATCCTATAGGAATATCTTATAGGATATATCTTATAGGAAGATGAAAGAGTCTTTATAGGAATATCTTTTTTTTTTTTTCTTCCCCAAAACCCTTTAAATAATTTCTGTGGAAGAAACTTTGGAATTAAGTAGGTCTCCTTTCATTAAATATCTGAAGGTAGAATTCATTTATATCCTGCTTTAGAGAAATTCCCTCGGGATTTCACACAACCCCAACCCTTTCATATGAAAAGGAGACAGAGAGAGACAGAAAATTGACTGTTCTCAGGAAAACATCACAAAAGGCAATTGGGCTCCTTGGGTTTAAATGATAATTCAGGAAAAACAGTCTGAGGATCTGGCCTGGAGATGGGAAAATGATGGAACAGGCCCTGCTCCTTGTCTGCCTTTCCCAGAGAAGCTGTGGCTGCCCCTGGATCCCTGGAAGTGTCCCAGGCCAGGTTGGAGCACCCTGGGTTAGTGGGAGGTGTCCTTGCCCCTGAGACGGAATTGGATCATCTTGAAGGCCCTTTCCTACCCAAACCATTCCGTGATTCCCCAAAACCTGCTGCTGAAAGGTACAACAAAGCCAAAAGGCACATTCTTAATTCCATCTGCAGAGCGAGGCCCGAACATTTTGCAGCCCAGAAGATCTGGAACCACAAAGTGAACAGCGGAAGACAGGATATCACCGATTAAATGCCATCTATTTAATTCAAGGAGGAAAATGGGATGTTATCCTCGAACTCAAGATGAAGCACAAGGGCCAGGTGGGTGAACCAGGGTCACCCAGGCTTGGAAGGACCAGATTGCAAACACACTGACGGACTAAAGACCAAAAGCTCTTAAAAATAGATCCAAGGGGACAGAAACAGGGTCTGCTCGCTCCTCCCCAGATGGGAGTGTTTTAGTGCCGGTAAAAAAACAAGGAGAAAACACAAGCTGAGATGCCCAGAATGTGAACTGAATGTTTCCTTGGATTCCACAGAAGCATCCTGAGGACGCTTTGAGGAAATACCCAGTGAAACACAAACCTTCCACACAGAAATACTCTCCCTGCCCCAGTAAAGAATGTTTCTTCTTAACCCCAACGCCAACTTCGATGATTATTCCCCCCAAAGCATTTGGTTTTCCTTTACCAAATGTTGTAGGTTCCCATCTTAGAACAAATAGAAACATATGGGAAGGTCTGTCCTTTGAAGGGAACTGTAACAACAAAACAAACCCAAACCCCTCAGCATGGCAGAAAGAGAAATAACCTCGCCCAGCTCTGCACTGTTTGTCTCTCAAATGTAAAAATCTTCCTTCTGGAGGTCAAAAAAACTCCCCAAAACAAAGAGAAAACGAAATGTCAAGAGAACTGCCTTGATTTTTTTTTTCTTCATTTATAAACGCTACATAAATGAGACACTTAATTTGTCTGGGCTAACAAAGCACTTCCAAGAATCCTCCAGTCATGTTGTTCGAAAAATAAAGAATATATATATATTATATATGTGTTATAAAGATATAGAGCACAAAGATCTGCAGAACAAGCAAAATAAAGATTATATATAATATATGTATTATGTATGTGTTATAAAGATATATATTACAAACATCTGCAGAAGGAGCAAAATAAAGATAATATGTATGTATTAAATATATGTATTATAAAGATATAGAAAGATCTGCAGGACATGTAAAATAAAATTTATATATAATACATGTATTACATATGTATTATAAAGATATATACTAGAAAGATCTGCAGAGCAAGCAAAATAAAGATTCTATACAAAATATGTTATACATATACTATAAAGATATATATATTAGTAAGATCTGCAGAACAAGCAAAATAAAGATTCTATATATATAATATATGTATTATATATGTACTATAAATATATATATATATATATATTAGTAAGACCTGCAGGACAAGCAAAATAAAGGTTATATATATAATATATACATATATTATAAAGGTATATATGATAAAGCTTCCACAAGCAGCATGAGAAGCATCAGATTCGTGCCTTCCTTTTTCATTTAACAGTCAATTTGTCTCAAATTCTGCAGGAATTTTCGGGAGATTGACCCCCTATTTTACTTTCTGTTTCTTTTCCACCTAATTTTTGGCCTTCTCCTCAGCTGCTCTCCGGGTTTTACCACACCAGGTGGTGCTGGGCCTGTTATCACACACACACACATGGATATTGCAACTCATCTGCAGGTCAAAAAAACTCGTGAGAAAGAAGGAAGAATAAGGAAAAACCATTAAATGCAGGGAGGGGAAAAAAAAAAAAAAAGAAGTTAATGACTCATATTTTTGTATGGAAAAGAAACTGAGCTCCCTCCATGCAGCTTATTTTTCACATTAGCAGGATAAATAAACTTACTAAAAAAGAGGTTAAACGTTGGCAGTGCAGAGCCAGGCCCCTAACATTCAGTTGCTGTTTGAGTCTGGTTGTTTTTGAGGCCAAAAACTAACTTTTTACTTCTAGAAAAAGGTGCAATCTCGATTATATTCCTTACCTTTGCTGCCTGAAGGGACCAGATTTCAAAGATCTTGTCTGTAAATGAGATAATCTTCAATACTGACGCCCTCAGCGACCACCATCGCCAACGAGGATCTGGAGAGCGACACCAAGAGCAGGACTTAAACCAGGTTTAATGCCACTAGACTGGGGTTTAAAATATTTATTTACTTTTTTCATTCATTTATGTATTAAAAAAGGCACAAAGTAAAATTGTGCTTTTCAAGCAAGACGTGAATTTAGGGGCTGCTGTTAAAAATAAACAGCCAAGCACCAGAGCCACAGCACAGGAAGGTTTTTAACTCTTGGAGGCCCACCATAATTACTCTGCATTAGCAGATTTAATAAATACACCAAACTGGAGGATTTCACTGTTATTATGCCCAAACAATGAATCCAGAGCAGACACTGGATGTCCACTGCACCCCAGGGTTTGCCAAGCTGGGAGCTGATGGATTAGCAGGGGGGAAAATTCCAGCTCCAAAGGGACCCAATGAAAGCACCAAAAAGCTGCTGTGGAGCAGCTGGAAGTGATGAGGAATTTTCAGATGAGGTCCAAGATGGGGTTGAGGGGCAGGAGAGGAACAGAATAAAGAGTTTCTAATAGTGGAAGGCTCCTGGAGCAGCTGGAATTCACAGAAGTCTCTGTGAGACAGGAGGGGAACAGCAAGTTCTGCTGGTGCTGGAGATCACCAAACAACCCCATCTATAGACAGAAGTTGGTGAATTAAAGGTCCAAGACACGACTGGACGTGGCCCTCAGTGCTCTGGGCTGGTGACCAGGTGGCCATCAGGCCCTCAGTGATCCCGGAGGGCTTTCCCAACCCAGAGAGTTCTGTGAGAGCCAACCCCAGGTTTCTTGAATTAGTTCAGCACAGAAGCTTCAACTGAAGATGCAGTGAGACCTGGAGTAAAAAAAAAATGTCTTTCTAAAGGGAAAACATCCCATGGAGCAATCACAGGGAAAGGAATGAAACATTTCATGATGCCTTTTCAAACAGCTCCTCCTCAACATGTTCAGGGTCTCCAAGGTGGTTCAAATCTGCGACTTGTTCTCCTTAAAAGCACCTTTGCACATGTCATTCAGCGAAGTTTGCCATCAACTGCCCTTCAAACCCAACATCCCATTTTCTCAACAAGCTGAATCAGACCCAATTCTCCCCAGATTTTTTAAGTGCCACTGAAAACATCGCAATTTTCTTTTCCTTTTTTCTTTTTTTTTTTTTTGGCTGGCAAGTAAATCATTCTCACGTTGCCTTTTGTGTCAATAGATGACGTTTTCCTTCCTTCTGTGAACCGCACGACCAAAAATGCAGATATTTAAACTCTGCTCCCGCTGCAGATGTTATTTGTGATGGGGTTTAATCACTGCTCTCTCACACACGACAACTGCAATAATTGTAAGGGTGTCATTAATTTTGTTCTCAAAACCTCTCAGCCTCCTCAAAGGGCTCTGGGAAGAAGTTCCTTCTGTGTTAAACCACACGTTTCAAGGGAATCTTTGGAATTTTATGGGACCTGGTGCTTTTGCTCAATGGCACCCAAGTGTTCCACTAATTTTGCTTCATATGATTTCCTGACCATCATCCCAACAACCAGGAGGAGTCACTGTGATCTCATCTTCAATTAATGGGAATTTACCAGTGACATTGAAATGTTTGTTGTTTAAAAACACATCACCTTATTCAGAGATTCCTCAGCACCATTTGACACGGAAGCAAAAAAAAAGACACAACTACAGGGAATCCCAGACTGGTTTGGGTTGGAAGGGACCTCAAAGATCATCCCATCCCACCCCCTGCCATGGGCAGGAACACGTTCCACTGGCCCAGGGTGCTCCAACCTGGCCTTGGACACTTCCAGGGATCCAGGGGCAGCCACAGCTTCTCTGCCCAACCTGTGCCAGGGCCTGCCCACCCTCCCAGCCAGCAATTCCTTCCCAATATCCCATCTTTGGGACAGCCATGGAAAGCCATTCCCTGTGTCCTGTCCCTCCATGCCTTGTCCCCAGTCCCTCTCCAGCTCTCCTGGAGCCCCTTCATGCCCTGGAAGGGGCTCTCAGGTCTCCCTGGAGCCTTTTCTTTTTCACAGCCCTTGAGCCCCTTCCCACCCCCCCAGCCCCTCGGTGCTGCTCAGACCCAGGTCCAGCACAGCCCCTCTCCCTGGAGAAGGAAATCATCCCCAGCACATTCCAGGAGCTCCCTGGATTGCTCACACCCTGCTGAGCTCCTGCTCCATCCCCAGGAGCAGCTCCCTGTGCTCCAGATCTCACGGACAGACCCCTGAGCCCATCGAGTCCAGCCACTGACCCCCCTCATGTTCTCCAGCACCTCACTCTGGGTGTTGATCCTCTAAACATCCCAGAGCCCCAGGAGTTGGTTCTCCAGGATCCCAGTCTGGTGCCAGCCCACCAAACATATGTCTCTGCTCAAATGGAAGAATCTGGTTTGATTCCTTTTCTCTTTTTTTTTTTTTTTTTCAAATCCCTTCCTGGACTGGGGACAAAAGCATTTATTTAGATACAGTAACTCAGCCCCTCCTGAGACAGGAAACTTCCTAGATATTCCATATAACTCCAACAATCCGAACACGTGACAGTGATTATCCAAATGCTCAAAAAACCATCAATAAAGACAGACAATAAATTGCTTTTGGACATTATTTTTGATGCTTGTGGGTGCTAAGTTTGTTTTTTTTTCCCTTGTTTTTGAGGGGAAAAAACACTCAGTCACACCAAGATAAATGCACACAGAAAACATCCCGAATTTCTGAGAGGGGCTCCTCATTTTGCTTCCTTAGGGGCAAAGGTAAAGGAGCAGGAGATTTGAAACACTGCTGAGGTCTCTGTTTTCCAGGTTTTCCCCTCCACAACCCAAGGTGTGGAAAACCAGGAAGGATCCCTGCACAAACCACCCCCAGCAAGGCTGAATTCCCTGATTTCAGATGATGATTCAGCTCAGCTGCAAAGGCCACCACTGGGAAAGAATCATGAGGGGGAAAAAAAACAACCCACGTGTTTTCTTTTTTTTTTTTTTGTGTTCCACAATAATGCAGAAAAGGCAGCCTCAATGTTTCTTTTAAATTAATAGTTTAAAGTGAGAAATAAATAAAGCAGGTCTGTGCTGTGCTGTTTTTGTCAGAGACGAGCGAGCAAGAACTAATGAGCTCTCCTGACAGATGAGGCTTCTCCAAGGCTGTCCCGAGAAGGAATTTCATCCTGCTTTTTTAGCTGGTATTTACCATTTATTGACAGCAATATAGCCGAGTTTCCCAATTAACACCAGAGAAAAAAAAAAGAAGATATTTTAAATTAAACCACGAATTAATCACTAATTTTACTATTTAATGGTTTGCTGGGGAAGGGCAGTTTTTGTACCAGACACTTGCCCCTATATATATTCATATTTAAGTCTAAACTATATAAATATATATATATTCATTATTTGTAAGGATTTTGGGAAGGGATTCCATGGACTAAGTTAACCACCAACAGGAAGAGCAGGAGGAGAGCTGGGAGGGATCCTCCTCCATTCACAGACACGGAGCAGGGGAACAGCAAACCCCGAGCCACGCTGAGAAAATCATCATCCCCACAAAGTAGGTCAGGGCAAGTGAGTTTACTAAATATAAACTTTCTTTGTAGTCAAGCAAGCGCTGCCAGAGTAAATGAGATTTACTCCCGTTTTGCCCAGGTCCTCTCTGAATCCCCATTCATTAAAACAACCACCCAGTGACCACTCACACACGCCCCTCAGCCTTCCAGGGATGCATCAGCAAACTCAATAAGGAAAAAACACCACCAAAAAAGGACGATTTGGACCTTTTTCGATTCTTCCACGTGAAAAGAAAACGCTCTGCGCTACACCCAAACATCCCAAAATACGCTCTCCGGCGGGAATTCCCTCCCCCGAGCCCCGTGGAGGTGACAGAGTCCCCTCCTGCCCTGGCACAGCCGCACACAGGGGCATCCTGCGTGACCTCCCGCGATCCTGGAGTGGCAGTGACACACTTGGAAAGGGAACACAGAATTCCCTGTCAACTGTCAGCTCGGGAGGAGCTGGGAGCGAGCGGGAGGCTCGGGAATGCTCCCTCCCCTCCACCACATTGTTTGGGAGAAAAAAGAGGGATATTTTACATCCCTTTTGAAACAGAGAAAATGCCCCAGCTGTTTGAGGAAATGTTCTTCTCCTCCAGAATTCCTCTAGAAACATTTCCAAGCTCACAGCGCAGGGAATTTATGGAAGTATCAATCCATGATTACACAGCCAAAGGGAAAAAAAAAAAAGCATCTCTTCACATACATCCAGTTTATTTTCTGCCTTCAAAGAGCAGAAAAAGGGCAATCCAATGCAACAGAAAAATTGCATTAATTGGCTGATCTTATGGCAGTTCCCATTCAAGAGCACTTTGTCCATCCTTTGAGCTGAATGATAATTATTCAGCACCAAGTGCACGGTTTTATACCACATTTCCAGCAGTTTCTGCCTGGTTTTGGGGGCTGCCCTGGGCCTGCACTATTCCCTGTCCTCCCAGCCACTGGAATTTATTTCACTTTATTTATGTTTAAGGAACGAGCCTCGGTGTCACTGGAAGCAGAACTGTACGGATATTTCCATGAAATCACAACCCTCTTATTTATTTTTTAAGGAAAGAAAGCAGGAAAAGTCTGGGCAAAGTGTTGCCCTGAAATCTGAGCATAATAACTGAGAGGTTTTCAGGGGCCTTTTCTGCATTTTAATTTCAACATTCAACCCATAACTGTGTCTGATTTCCCAGCCCAAGAAGGGTTTGGGTTTTTGGTTTTGGTTTTTTTTTTTTTTTGTCTGTATTTTAACACCTGCAGTTTTACAAATGATTTCTCTTCTGATGGAACTCCTGGAAACAAATTAATTCCTAAGTGCCCCCAGATCCCACAGGATTTAAGGGAGGAATATTTCTTTATATAGCAGTGCATGTTCAGCACCACGCTGAAATCCAGTCAAAGATTTTAGGGAAGATTAAGATGTTTTTAATGCCTGTATCCCACTTCTCCATTCTCTACCTCCTTTCCCTTCATCCTCATTTTCCAAGGAATGCTTAAGCTCAAAGTATGGCTC